AATTAAGTCAACCATTTGGTAGTGGTGTAGGGTTTCAGATGTGTCGCAGTGTCACCACAAAATACCTCAGTGGTTCCTGCTAACAAAGAACCCACTATGTGGATTTTTTGTCAGAGATGGTGGGGCAAGTTTGCGGTACAGTGTGCCAAAAAGCTGCACAGCTCCCCTGCTATTAATAGGGTTCATGTGTTCATCTCTTCATTCCTTGCTGAAAACAAATCCCCTGCCCAGCAGCAGTTTCAGGTGAATATCGAGAAGCAGAGCTGGGGTGGGATCACAGTGACCCTACAGCTGCCTACCCAAGGGCTTGCAGTGAGACTGGCTCGGTGGGAAGGGCACGCTGTGCTGTTGCGCAGCCAGGAATGCAAGTGAGGGAGGGTGCTGGAGGAGAAGTTCTTGAAGCTAGTCCTGGGCTCCAATAAAATGTAATTTGCCCAGGGAGCGTAGATTGGCAGAGAATTTTTAAAGCAATTTTTAGTTTTTCAGTGGAAAGGTTAAAAGAAGCTTGAAGAAGTGTTTCATCTGCATGCAATGTATTGTTGGTTTAATCTCTTATTTTACACCTTTTGGGGTGTATTTGTCAGAATGGTATATTAAACTTCTTGGAGAAATCTCAGTACACATCTATGCCTGTGCAGGAGCTTGGGAACAACTCCAAAGATTGGTTAGGTACTGCTCTTTATCTATAAGAAGACAGTTCAGTTTCATAATTTTATCTAAATTCAGATTCTTTTAATGAGAATGAAATTTAGATTTTTTCTTCTCATGTGTTTGTACTGCTGTTCATTATAAGGATTTACTTTATATATTTTCCACCTGTGCAAAGACTTGTAAACTGCTGCAGAGTTCCACATGATGACCTTCTTACATTAAAATTAATCAGAAGTTGCAAGGACATGATAACACTTGAAACCCATAAAATGACTCGTGCTCAAGTTAAGTGAATGCTTGCTTTTGCAAATATAAAATGGGGGCTCAAGCAAGCCAACAAGGAATGAAGAGTACATTTCTGTTCCAAAAAGCAGTTTTTAAAACTCAAGTGGCCTTATTGTTTATTTTCTGAAGTATTTTAAAGATCTTACTTTTAGACATGACATTAGAATATCTAATAATTATAATAATAATAATCTAATAATTTTCATTTCACTTTGTGAAAAGGGAAGCTGGAGTTGCTTAGGTCCTACAGAAGAGATACAACTGTAGCAGGAAATACATTTGAAGGGAGAAATTTCTCTTTTTATAACAGGGTTCATCTGTCTTTGCATAAGTAAGAAACATTATTTCAGAAAATAATCTGAAACTTGTCTCCACTGCCATGAATTTCTGCTTGCTGTGACACAATCCTAGTTATTTTTTTAAAGGATAAAAACCCTGATGTTTCAGAATTCTTATGCAGAAACCAAGCCTTCCAAAATTTTGTTCATCAGGATTAATTTGATGGAAGTTTGAACTGCAATGTCCTATCCAAGCCCAGAACCAAGCAATTTTTTTTGTGTTTGTGTGTGTTTTTTGGTTTGTTTGTTTGTTGCTGTTAGGTTGTTCTGGTTTTTCCTGTGGTTTTTTGGGTTCTTGTTGTTTTTTACATTTAGGCATAATTCTGTTTATAGATATTGCTCAATTTTGGTGCTGGTGTTTCCCTTGGATTAATGGCATAGGCATGAAGAAATGTGAAAGCTGTTCATATGCCAGACACTAATGCCAGTTCCTCAGGATATGTGCCATTATTCCACAAAGTCTGTTTATGCAGATAAGCCATGTGGAGGATGTTTAATTGGATAGCCCATGTGGATGATCCAGCAGAACTTTCTGAGCCATTTGGAGACTGTTGTGGTGCAGGATGGTTGCAATTACTATAAACTGCATCAGAAATCTTAACAAAGTGCCACACTCAGGAGTTTCTGGTGATAAGAATCAATGCAATTTGCACCACAAAGAAAGATTAGGTGAAAGAAGATGCCAAAATGTGGCATGGAGGATCTGCCTTTTGACAGCTATAAAGTGAAAGAATCTCCATCTTTGAAAAAAAATAATGTAGCCTTCAACCTGCCAAGGGGCAGGAGCACAGCACAACCCTTCTGAATGTGTGATGAATTCACAAACTGAGGGATGCCACAAGAAATAGGGGAGAGGAAGCTTGAAATGCTGTTGGGTGCATTTCTTTAATAAAAAAAGTTTTTCCAAAACCTCAGTTTCATGATTCAGCATTTCTTTTGGCACTGTAACAATTTAAAAGTAGGCTAAACAAGTCTGAGGGAATATGCTGGTAAGTTCAGGCCAGAGAGGGGAAAGTTTCTGGAAGTAATAATAGAAAGACTAAGACCCCTTCCACCCCCAATAATTGCAGTTTAATTGTTAAAATACACTTCACAAGCACACAATAATTATGACACCCTCACAATACCTTCTGAAACAGATATGATCATGCTTATCATGCTTATTTTCTGGATGAATAAACCAACCCACTATATCAAAATACTTTGACCAAGACCTGCTCCAAAAACAACGGGAGACCAAAGAATATACCCTTTAACCTAATTATGAGACAGCAGTGGCGTGTATGAAGGAAGCAACTTAACTGAAAATTATACATTCAGATGTTGTGGCCAATTCTTGCTTTCCTTTGTTTTGAAAGTCGTAGGGTTTTGCTGCTAAACTTGAGAATAATTAATGGAAACTGTGGAAGCCCATCAGTTTTAAAAAAATGATGTCAGGAAGTTATTGCACAGTTTTTGTCAGTTTTTTATTTTTAAAAAAAGTATTTATATATCATACAAATTTTTAGATGTAATTTTTGCTAGTAAGTTGGTGGCATAGCCTCAGTAACTTGATGAGCATCAGGCAGCTACAAGACCAGAACTGTGTGTCTTGTGCACGTGCCAAGCATCACATGGAATTTTGAATGCCTTGTGCGTGTCTCTTTCTTAGGAGTCAGCCCCAGATTTCCTCAGGGTTAGATTTTCCTGGAAGGGTCAGTGTCTGAAGCAGCAATAGAAATGGTTTACCAGGTAGGAAGGTCTTGCAGTATGCTTGGGCACCTGGTCTGTCCCAGGGGACTGGGCAAAGCCAGGTGGAGAGGATGGGGTAAGAATGGGGCACAGCATTTTAGTATCATCAGAGAGTGTATGCTGCTGGATTTGACACATTATTTATTAAGGAAAAATGCTTTCACTTGTGTCTTACTTCAATATTTTCAGAATGTCCATCCTACATCGTGTGGAGAGTGGATGGAGTCAGAGAGAGAAAAGCTCCATGACCTTTCAAAGAAAATAGCACTTTCACTTTTCAATATTGAGAAGTATCTGATTTAAAGAAAAAGAAAAATTAAGTATTGATACTTTCCTCTATGATTTTCATTAGTTTGTGAAGCCAGAGAATAAAGGTCATAAACCACTATAAAGAGAATCTTATCCCTATATCAAACATAATACTTTTTTAAGATGATCACATCTCTTGGAAAGTCCTAATTTAAAGACATCACTATTTAATTTTTAAAAATTTTTATTTTAAAGTGGAGAAATACTTTTTGCCAGAAAGAACCCCTTAGCTCAAAATCTGCATGAACCTCAGGGACTCTCTGGTTCCAGTTGATACTCCAGTTTTGTTGCTCAGCACCCAGAGGAACACAAATAAAAGCTGCAGGTCTGAGCATTCATGCTCCAACACTGAGAGTGCTCAGACTGCAGCTACCTTTTGTTGTTACTTCAGTTTAATAGGCAGAACAACAGGACATGCATGCTCTCTGTGATGCCCTATTTCTATACCCATAACCCCCCTCTGCCACCATAAATAAAAACCCACAAGCAGAGTGGGTCATCATGGAATTTCCATTCCACAGAAATAGCAGTTTCTCATTTTGGCTAGGGAAGAGCTTCCAATTTCACCCTCCTTGCTCTGGCTTTACTGTATCTCATTGAAATGACAAAATTAAACATTGATTTCATTAAAATGCAGCATTTAAGTAATTTTGCAGTTACCTTGTGGTGAAGTTGACAAATTCATATATAATTCTTTAATTTTGTTTAGTCAACGTTTCCCCAAGGGAGCATTTCCAGTAGGAAATTTTTAACACTAAGATGAATGGCTTAGGCTGATGTTCAAGGTGGGAAGTAATATCATGAGGCAGTCAGTCTGCTTGTCCAGAGACAGCTGAAGCATCTCCACACAGGCCTGTCAGGTACTCAGTAGATGTGACCAGAGGCACCACCAAAAGTGTACCCATTGTTGTCCTATTGTTTTCAAAATATTACCATTTAAAATGTAAGCTGTAAAAATGTTGAAAAATGAGCCTGTGAAGATGTTGAAAAGTGAGCTGAAAAATGAAAAATAAATGTGCTCAAGTGAAAACATATGGCAGGTGCAAGTTATATGCAAACTTCATAATGAATTCTGAAAATATACTTGAAGAATGAGAACTGCAAATATTTCTAGTCTGGATTGCACATATTAAGGATCGCTCCTATGTGCTCCATGTTTGCCAGATCTAAAAGCACAGTTATGCTGGTGAACTTCATTAATCATTCAATACCCTGAGCATAATAATGGGCAAGAGTGTTGGTGGTGTCAAGTCATTTCCTAAATTGTGCTTAACAGTTTCAAATGAGGGGTGGATGAACTGGCTGCAGTAACTAAAATACTAAGTTTGAACCTGCATTCAAAATAGACATGAGTTTCAGACATTTGGGGATGATGGCTTATCACTATTTTCTGATTTTAAATGAGTCTTTCTTTCCACATCTCACAAGCTGATGTCTCTGTGTAGGACTGGAAACAAAAGTGCCAAAATTCTATTTTTTGGTTTTTTTTCTGGCACACATCAGATCAGGAACTACTTCAAGATTTCCAGGCTGCTATACCAGACCAGAGACATTGTGCCAAGCTGGCATAATTACAGGAACTTGACCTCCAACCCTTCCCCTTTTGCACAGCGCCTTCCCAACCACACAGCAGCACCTGGTCACCTCAATTTGGTTGTAACGTATCTTTCTCCTTTTTTTCTTCAGAGCATTGTCATCTGTGGTGGCTTTAGGAGCTAACATAATCTGCAACAAAATCCCAGGCCTGGCCCCTCGGCAGCGAGCAATCTGCCAGAGCCGCCCTGATGCCATCATTGTGATCGGGGAAGGGGCACAAATGGGAATCAATGAGTGCCAGTACCAGTTTCGGTACGGGAGGTGGAACTGCTCTGCGCTGGGAGAGAAAACAGTCTTTGGACAAGAGCTTCGAGTAGGTAAGGGTGTCTACTACGGTGCTGTAGGGATCTGTTTGGGATGGTTTTCTTTTGCCTTTCTTGCTATGGTCCTGCAATGATTTATAACCCTCAGAGTTCAACAGCGATGCTTCCAGAATAACTGTGCGTTTCCACTCACTGAAAAGTAACTGGCAAGAGACATGAAGTCTCCAGTGATCTGTAGATGAAGTCACTCATATCTGTGCAACTTCAGACCCAGCAATGGCCTCAGTGCCTGCACAGCCATCCAAGGTTACAGCCCATGAAAAGAATATTTCCAACCATTGTCTTGGTAAAGGTTGTCATGATAACCGTGGTGAACATTCATTATGGCCAATCAAAAAGGAACAAAAAGCTCAGAAAAATCCCTCTGCAGACTTCCCAGAAGCTTAAGTAATGGGAGAGTCCCAAATAATTGATGGAAGTACTGTGCATACCACACTGCTGTTCCAATATGTGGCAATGATACATTTTAATGTTGCTATCATACTGAAAAGAAAATAGTGCTAGTGATTTGAGGCAGGAAACCCATTCAAAGAAAATAATACATGGCCTTGGCCTGACAAGCTGTTAGCTGTCAGAAGTTAAATCAATACCTTTTCATTTACCCTATGTCTGATATTATTTCACTGGGGAGATTATGTAAACTTTTTTTCCAGCACTGAGGTCACTATCTTCCTCATCACCCAGCTGGGTATCCTTAGCTTATTCCTGACCTTTTCTTTCTCCCCCAAGGGCTGCCCACTCTCCTGTCTGCCGCTCTGGGTTGGGATAACATATTGTACTGTGTGGCTCTCTCAAGGGCACTCAAAGTGATACCATCTCAGTGGGGTTGTAGTCTATTCTTCTTGTGTCCCATTTTTCTTTGGGTGATACCTCTTGGATTCAATGGTTTGGGTGAGCCTTGTGCTTCCAACACAGCTGAGTGTGGTCAGACAGAAGATCTCATTAAACCTGTATGAAAAAAGGCAGAACATTTAATTTCATCTGTGCAAAGAGGTGTTGACTCACCTGGTCATGTGGTGCTTTGGTTGTTAGTGGTGGTCAAGGCTTCAGGGTTTTTTTCTGACACCCTTGTGAAATGAACGCCAGAAACTGAGGTATGTTTGGGTCAATAAGGGAACAAAATATTTTTTGAAAGAACATCCAAATTTGAGAGTCTGGATGAGGTCTGGGTGCTTTAAGGCCACAGTGGTTCAGTAAAGTGCTGCAAGGGAAAAATCTGTTGGCATTGGGAAATTGACTTACATTTGTAGTGGATCTGTCATACTCTGAGCTTTACATTACATTCTCAAGGCATCATATTCAGGAATTAACCGAACTTTTGACTCCTACCTTAAAATTTAAATGAACCAGAAAAAAATCTAGTCACTTGTCTTGACTGTTAGAAGCATGGTCTGGTCCTCCTTGGGTGGTGTTATTTTTGCTTGCTTTCGGTTGACAACCAGAATTATGTTCCTGTCAGAAAATATACATCTGCCAAGCATTCTGTACTTCTTTGTGCTCTGTTTTCATCTGCCAAAGCTTGCAGACATGCTCTGACCTTAGATAAGCGAGTTGTCTTACCTTCTGTGAGGTCCCTTATGGCCTGAGAAGAACCACTTTGGAGGGTTGTACCAGAGTTGGTGTCATCACAAAGCTATTCAGTGAAAAGGCTTTCATCACTTCTGCTCTCCTCTTCAAGCTGAGAATCATCTGCACCACTGTGCTCATGGGTAACAATCCTCTTCACCAGAGAGACTCCTTTCATCCCCAAAACTTTGCAAGTGAGTGCAGTTCAAATGCCTAAAGAGGACAAGTTGTAGTTGTGCTTTAATTCTCAATGTTTCTGCACAAAGTGAGAGCTACAAGGAACAGAAATTATTTGTCATTAGGATGGACCAGCTATCAGACTGGTCAGACTATACAAAGTTTGAAGGAAACAGGGTTTCTTGAGCCAGTATTCAAGCCATGTTTGCCAAAATATTTACCAGGTTCTTGACCTCTTCACTGAACCTGGGTGGTTTCTTGCAAGTCTGAAATGACTGATGTGGAATTTGGTGGGTTATTTTATGGGTTAACCCAAACACAGATGAAACTTGGCTGTTGCAGCTGAGTTCTGCTTTGACATTTGTTGGGTGTGAAACCACAGAGACTCTAACAGTTGCAGAAGGTTTACACGACCCCTTCCAGCCGAGCCAGATGAGTTCCTTGCAGGTCTATAAAGGATCTCATAATCCACAAGTCTTTATTTTTTTATTACTGCAGTAGCACCCAGAGATGATGCGGTCAGTACCTAGGAAAATGATAGGGTTAGGAAGTAGTGTTATTACACTAGAAACGGGGAAAAAGGTAAAAAATGGTCAATTATTTAAAAACCCAACTACTTAAAAGATACAAGGTACTCCTAAGCATAAATATTCATATGTGTAACAAAACACACCCTTGTCTGATGCAGAAACACATTTGGTTCTGCCTGAACACACTGGAGAAATGACTAAAACTAAAAAAAAGACAGGCATGTTTTTCACTTCACCCCAAAGGAAAACTTTGTCCCAGAACCCCTTGGGGAGATGAACACTGAAGGTGAGTTATTCAGGTCTCAGGGTGGGGAGGGAAAGTAAGCAGTGATAACATATTAATTACTCTCTTGCTGCATGGGAAGGAGAGGACCTATGCTTTAGCCACTGACCAAGACTCTACCACTACACTGACAAGTACAGATTTACGGTTGTTCTAACTTCGATTTTGATGCAACACTCCCCCTTCAAGATTCAAAGCAAACACTCAGACTCACCCAACATGAGGTTTCTCCAACAGATTGTTGCTACCATCACCTCTTGGGTGCCTTTATGTTCTAGCTGTGCATGTCTTCCACCCACCACCAAGCCAGAAGTCATGACACAGGAACATGTGTCCCCCCTTGTAATTTCCAGGGATCCTATTGTGCCAGGACTAGTCCTCAGTTTAGTAGCTAAGCTCTAAGATGGTTCAGTGAGGAGTTATTTATTCAAAGAGGTACTTCAGTGAATGAGGGCTGCATCACCAATACTGTATATGTAATCTGTATTAAAAACAATTGAAATAGTCCAGAGGATGGAATAACAGTTGTAGAAATGATGGGGCATTCACGTTGGTGTGAAAGATTTATAGCAGCCAGAGATAAAAGTGACAGAGAAATCTAAATTACTAGCATGAACAAAGGCTGTAGCATGGGATGAATTAGCCAAGCAATGTGTGTGCATAGCTTATTTTGATATATTTATAGCTGGGAACTCTTCCATAGTCATGTCATCCCCAAAGAAAGTCAGTCCTACACTTACTTTACTCATGCTGTCCTTGTACATACTTGTATTTGTCACCTTCCTGAGCTCATCCCTAGTTTTCATGCCAACTTCTCACATAATCTTCTGTACTCTCCACTCATTCTTCTTGCTTTAAGTCTCTTTAAAGATTGCCTCCCAAACAAATTGATTCAAAAATAAATATTAAAACTTTTAAAACTAATACAAAAATATATATCAAATGTTATTACTAGTAATCACTGTTGAAAAGATAATTGCCCTTCTAACATTCTGATCTGGATGAATAAAGCCTCTGGTCCTATCAGGTTGTTGATACAACACAGCTCCAGCACTAGGTCTCTATTCCCCCAAATGATGGGCAGAACAATTTGTCACACACTTCTAAAAGCTGCAGATCATTAATAGCATTGAAAACAAAGAACTCCACCCCCAAAAAGAAAGCAGTGCAGGCTCTGTAGTATGAAGCCTTAATCAATAACAATACTGTTGTTCTTTGACAGTGGATTATTCTGGCTAATAATTTGTGCATTGACCTTTTCCACTGAAATCCTTTAAACTGAAGTGCTTATGAACAGGCAAAACTCTTACCAGTGCTAAATCCAGGGCAAAACTGAGCTCTTTTGGTGTTTTGGAAAGTAGTATCTGTCAAGATATCCAAAGTGATCCTTACCTGTCTTTCTCAGACTTATGATGTGGAAAATGATAATGATTTAGCAATATTTGGCTGTGTCACTGGAGCAGTGATTTGGCAAATCATTAAACTGGACACCTGACAGGGAAATACTAACAAGTAGGCCAAACCCAAGGGAGTTCTGAAGTTGGGCTTTTTTTTTTTTTAATGTCTTACCCTTTGTTTTGATCTGTAGTTTCCTGGTGTGTTGAAAGGATGCATCTGAAGGGAAGTTACAGCTCAGCTTGCTAGGGAAGGATTAGGAGAAGAACACGTTAAGAATTTTCCTATCTCTTCCCATTCACTCAACATTTGATCCACTCTCCAGGCAGAAAGGGGGGGTGATAGGAGAAAAACCCTACAGTTTTAGAGACAAACAAAATCTGTGCATGGATTTTATTAACCCCCAGGTGAAGAAGACTTTTAGCAAACACAATCAGAACATAAACTTCAATGTCAGAGTTCTCTACAAGCATGCACTTGTACATATGCACACATAAACCAGGGAGAGGATGGATAATTCCAAACAGAAGACTGGGAAATGCAGGGGGACATCTTCTGAGGGAGAGAAATACTCTCACTGAAGGAGAGAGATACTCATAAACAACAGTTTATTCTGTACTGGAAACAGATAACATTGTCAGTCCACTCTCGATCCCAAGTTTCAACTGCAGGCCTGAAAAAACATGGGAATTGGGCATGAAGAATATCTAAGTGATGGAGTCATGGAGAAGTGGTTGGCATCTTATCATACATGCTGAGGGGTTGTCAGCCAGTAAATTATTCTTGGTTCAGGCCATATATAGGCTTAATTAAATTTGGATTCCACTGGATTTGAATCCAGTAATTTTTATTCTGGGCTATGATGATGGTTTAACCGAGATGCCAAATGTTCATAAAAACTTCCTACCAAAAATGGGAGGAGTAGAGAGGCGCATTATTCTCCAAAAATGGATATTTAGGTCCAAGAAGATGGATTAATCTAGCACAGTAGTGTCTAGTGTGGTATGAATTGGCCAACTTGGAAATCTGGGCTTTCAGTGTGA